TTGGGTTCTGAGTGGAACATATGGCTTCAGCAACACATCTCCATTTTGTTCTCTTCTATACAGTTCACTTTAGCTGAGTCAATGATTTCCCATAGGTTGTCATCTCCTTCATATCCCCTTAGGAGCGACGCTCAGCTCGTCGTATCCCATTTAGACCCCACTCAGAAGCATAGATATATACATATACAAATCAACACATGTAAGCGAACAATACTGTTTTCAATTAGATCTCATCAGATTTAACTCTAATATACATAAATTTACAAATAAATATTCAATATAAACCGGTCATGGTAATTTGTTAGTAGGATGATAAGATTATGAATATAAATTGCGCAATTAGTTACAATAATAATGATTCTGTGACAAAAAAGACGGTAAAAAATAGCATGATTAAACAAACAAGTCTTCATTCCATACTAATTTGTTTATTACATATATCACACAGTGAAACAGTATTATTTACAGTTTCGAACACAATTTACTGTTCATAATCATATCATCACTTATAATCAGACAACTTCGGAACTTGAGTTTTATACTTGTTTTTATTTTTTTTCTATTTGTCGTAGGCGTACTACAATTTTCTAGATGTTCGGGTGAACAAGTGTTGAATCATTCCTATTACACACGTCCACAGTTGATTAGATAATTAAAGCTTCCATTATCAGTCTCTCCCTCCATCCTGGTACATGAGATTTCAAAACTATCATCTTATCCCATCCAGCCTATTGTATGGTTGTGTGTAACTGCATGTAGTGCTATAGCTGAACTATTCCCTAGATTTCTTATCTTATTCGGGTCAACCAATCCAAATTTTGCTGCTAGGTGTTTATGTTCAGCTAGTCTGACTACCTCTGTTCTACTAGCTTGACCTATATATTTCAGCTGACAATCATTGCAGAGTGGGTGTTAGATAAACTAAATTTTTTTGTTTTAAAGGCTCCACTGGCAGGATCCTTTAACTGACAAAGCTTGTTTCTAACTGAGTTTGGGGGTCTGAATGTCAGCCACTTTTATCCCTACATTGTTAAGGGTTCTCTGTAAGGTTTCCGAAATTGCTTCCTTGTGTGAAGTACTACTGATGATTAAAATCCCCTATTACTGATGTTCTCATCACTCTGTGCATGTCGTTACTAATATTATTAGTACTATCATTATTGTTACAATCACTATCATTATTTATTTTTATATTTTCCTACACACATTATCAGGGTAATTATTAAGTTTCAAAGCTTCTCTTATATGCTTTATATACTGACTCAGATCTCCTTCAGTACTAGTTAGTTATTGTGCCCTATCACTTAAATATTTCACCAATCCTACTTTTGCTGAAATATGGTGAGATAATCTAAAATCCAAATAACGATGTGAATGTGTCAGTTTCCTTCAAACACTAGTGTTAAACTTTCCATCTCCTTTACTTTTTACGCTCCAATCTAACATTAGGAACTCCCCTTCCTAACTTTCCAAATGAATTCATTTGCCTCTGTCTTCGAGTTGATATGTTCTAAGAATCTAATTATGTCCTCAGTACAGCAGACTTCTAAACTGATTTTAGCGAGATGAAGGTCTGTTTTGTTTTTTTGATTCTTGTGTTGATATCCTTGTCCGTTGCGTCCTCCTGTAGTTGGAACGATGGTGCACAGATAAGTGGAGCAATCAACCTTTTTCAAATTTCTTTTATTGAAAGTGATCAATACTTGCTGATGTTATTATTTAGTGAGCATCTTCAACACATCCATCTTCTTTATGCTCACTTGAATTCTTGTATTTGCTGTCAGTTTCATCTGCCAACTTTTTGGTTTTTATCAGTAAGGCCTCCAGTGTGTGTGTGGGTGTGACATTACACACTAATTGTCCACGAAGTTCATTTCTCCTAGAGTCTTCTTACTGGTTCAATACATTCCTGTTTTCTCGCTTCCCAGGCATGTTGTTCCATATATTCGAATACACCACAATTAAAAATGTCATCAGCGATAGTAGGCAGCCTTGTATTACTCCCTTCTGTCTTCATTTCAAAGACTTCACTGAGCCTTCCATTGTGGATTATCTGACATGTGGCATTATCATATGGATGTTGAATGTTGTCGATGAAGGTTTGAGGTATTCCTCAGTGCTAAGGCAGTTCTCAAATTACTTCACAGCGAAATCTGTAGCAGGAATTTTTAAATTCTGTGAACTTGGGGAAGAGATATATGTAGGAGAAAATGAAGATGAATTTGATATAAACTGAGAAAATATTCAAGGAATATGACACACAATGGCATAGTGTAGAACCTGAATGAACTGGGCGCCTGAGGGCAACCTATGGAAGATCATCCGAAGTCGTCAAGCCAGTTTAAAATGATGACAGAGAACCCAGTTACACAAAGATGTCCTGCTGAAGCGCTTGAGATCGACGGCATTCTGTTTTGCGTTGTGCAATCAAACTAAGAGATTCACGATCGTAGTGCAACTTGAATGGACTTTCTAGGGTTGAGAGTAGTTGACAGATTATGACTTTCTCCATAGCCACGCAAATGCTTCATCAGAATATCCTAAATTGAGATCCACGACGTTTTTATGAAAAAACTCAACTACTCAACATCAAATCCGCATAAATTTCATCTTGATTTAAAGTCCTAGAAGGCTATCGGCTATTAGCCTAAGTACCATGGCATTCTTTGTAATTTTCTTTGCCAGCCGTTCTGTATTATATCGCATTAAATACAGTATGAATGAGCTGATTTCCATTTACAATGTCAGATCAGATTTATCTTCTACTTACCACTTAGTCGTTTAAACTTCACGTCTTTTTTCTTCAGTAGTAAAGTGCACTAACTTCTTCGTGGAAATCACGATAGTCCGTTTGCGAGTCGACTTCTGCTTGGTAAACAATCAGTGTAAATAAAACAAGTAGTTCAGTGAAGAGGATCATTTTGGAGAATTCACTCCCCTCTCCAGCTCTACTATCGCATTTATATACAATTACATTTTCACACAAGAGAGTAGAAACAAAAGTCATGAGTTGTCACAAATGTAGTTGTTAATATTAGTCAGTGTATGACGGAAGTTGAATAAGTGTACTAGAGTTGCGTAACAAGATGGACAATTTAATAAATGAATTGTGATCGTAACAATGCTAAGAGTAATGTACTCCAATTGGTCTGGGGGAAGCCTTGGGGGCAAGACCTCACATCTTACCACTTCTGTGTGTGCATATTGGTTAACCTGTTCCTATAGAGCCAGGTACATTGGTTGTTCATTGTGTACCCTGTCCAAAAGAGTTCAAGAACACTAACGCTCCTAGGCAGTAGTGGCTCTATAAGGAGTGCGATAACTGAACACCTTGTCAACACTGGTCATTCCATCTCAACAAATTTCTCCTTTAGAGCAATTTACAAGGTGAAGAATAACCTGGCAAAGTCAATGAGCTTTCGTTTCATTTGTATTGCTGGAGCTTAAGCCATTCTGTTGGAGCTAAGCACACAAAAAATATTACTCAACCACTACTACTATCACAGTAACAACCATGGTGATTTATAATGACTTAATTTTGGTTTGTCAGTTTTTCGAATTTGTTATAACTCTTCTATTTATTTAAAACTCTTACATGATTCCATATTTTCCTTCCTTTCTATGTGCAACTGAGTCATTAAATAAAGTATTCATCTGATAACATCACTCTAATACACTTACTCAACTTCCCTCATACATTGACTAATATTAACATCTTTATTTGTGACAAATCATCACTTTTGCTATTACCTCTTTCATGAAAAATTGTATATAAATATGATTGTAGAGTTGAATAGGGAATGAATTCTCCGAAAAGATCCTCTTCGCTGAACTGTGTTTTTTTTAAAATTTTCATTAATGTCCAAATAGGGATTACTCATAAACATTCAGAGTATCAATTGCTCTGCTACAGGACATTAACTGTCAACGTGGATATCTTAGTAGTAAGATCTCTGATTGCGTCACTGTATGATGATGCGGTTTTCAAATCTCAGAAGCGATATCAGGTACGCGTTACTGAGGAGTGCCCAACTTGCACAAAACTTTCTGCCTATCACCTCTAACCACTTAACATCAATGTCTTATTGAGTATCTTCTATCACTTTCTGATATACAATAAAACCTATTTTCAAGGTGATAGCCCATACAACGCGCTAACTTCGAATGAACAAAACATTAAAAACTTTATCCTAAATTACATATTTTATTGTATTATTTCTTGTCATATATATATGCATATACTGATTGCACAAAATAAAGAGAAGGGAATACCTAAAGACAGAATTTTTTACAATCATTACGCAGTGACGCAAATTCAAGTGACAGCATTCAAAAAAGAATGGGATTCTTCTTTCCTTTTGGTTTTTAACAACTTATCATGAGTGATTTTCTGTCAGTGTCATCATTCTTCTAGATGAGAGTATTTTATACCATTCATTACTTGGTGGACGGATGCACCGCCAAAATATAACCTTGAAAAGTAAATTAGTAAAACAAAATTTGCAGGATACTTTAAATAAACTATATAACTGTCAACCTTATGATTTATCTTTGGTAATATTATGTATGCGATTGTCCCACGTCTTTTTGTTTACTGATTACAAAATTAGTATTAGTAGTAGGGTTAGTTGTATATTTTTAGGAGAGAAAAAAAGGCGAAAATCAACTGAGGAAGAAAGTATTTCGAGGTATTTTTTTAAAGATTCATTATTATTAACAAGATGTCTACGATGTAGTCTATGAATACTTTACTCAATAGATCGGCTTCATTTCAGTGAATATACAAGGTAAGAAAGTGAATCACTGATAGATAAGTCAACAAAGAAACAAAGCAGCAATCGTCCAATAATGCGATGAAATCATTTATATTTACAAATTCCGCCTCGAGTGTGACCAAAAACAAGCTCATACATACGAGTGAATTAAGAATTCTAACTAATGAAAGATTGTATAGTTGGCAGGAAGTCTGCACGTCATTTGCATGTATACATATTTACGTATTACTGAGAATTTGCTATTGAAAAACTTTGATATCTTTTAGGCGATAAATCTTTAGAGGGTGATAAATTTTCATAATTGTTTACAACACTAGAAGTTTTATTTAAATTGTTCATAGATGTGATCAAGTGGTTTTGAAGATTTACGGTAAGCGAATACTTTATACTATCGTTTACAGTTTGAATGTCTGAATTACTTGTAGGATAGAGGAGTGAAGCGGATGTATCGTTAACACCACTGGCGGGAATGAATTCTTTAACTGAATGTGAAGGGGAGGATAAACCGTTACTATGATAAGAATGCTTTCTCTTGTTAGCATTACTGCTATGCATTGTTGTTTCCATGCATGATATTTCACTTGATTTATCATTATGGTATGTATCGAAAGCTTTCATCCCATATGCTTGAAGGAATGTGGAGTGATTTGTACTCATCTGTTGAACAGTAGTCACTGCTATTGACGACATATTGACTGGATTGGATTGTTGGCTTTTTAGCAACCAGTTATGCTGTGTCAGTGAATCGGGTAAGAAATGTGATAAATTTATGTCATCTATTTGATGTTGTTTGTGTGAAACAATATCATCTTTAGCCAAGTCACTTGAAGCTGTTGTCCTCTGGTTATCTGTATAATCTATCGCCATAGGGATTTGTTCAAATGCCATAGAGTTAACTCCAATAGCATTTCTGTTGCTGCTGTTGTCGTTGACATTCAGTGAATTGGAATGATGCCTTGTCCGTTTATCGTTAGATATCTCTAAATGACAATTTTCTTCCAGTTGTTGTATACTGCTTGATTCTGGTGCCATTATGTTGACATCATCTGATGAAAAGCATTCATCACCGCTCATACTATCACTGCCAGCATCAGTATTTTCATAATCACCGCCTCGTATATTCGCATTATTTTTGTTATTACTACTACTTAAATTTGATGCTGAACGTTCGGTGAATAAATTAGGTCTGTTAGACATCATTTCAGCTGCATTCTTTTTACGCCATTTTGTTCGTCTATTCTGAAACCATACCTTGAATGAGAAATCAGAAAAAAAAGACAAGCTCGTTATGTCAGAGTTGGTCATTAAAGCATTTTATGTATCATTCCATAGTTCAACTCAAAAGATACATTATCATTGTCGTGCTTATGAATCATAATGGTAACTTTCAAGAGTCCGTTTTTTTAGGGATTTGATCTATTTTAAGTGACACCACAGTTTGATATCAGCTAGTACACCATTGAAAATCAGCAGAAACTACTGGATATCTACTCTGTCCAAGGGAGGAACTCTTCAGTAGTATCCACACTGTTGGATTCGAACCCAAGGTCCTTCGTAAAGCATTCACATAGTAGGACCCGCTCCAATGGAGTGCATATGAGTTTCAATTTCTAACAATTCATGATTTTGCACTCGCCCACCAATCAGCATCATCAGTGAGTGTTTTGCTTCACTCCAAACCTTTTGGATCTCACTTGTCACAGGTTCTCACTGACGCTGCAGTCAACTTCATCCTGTAGCCAGCCAGTCACTAGTGAGCATCAGACTAATTTTCAAGGTTTAGTTAGTAGGAATTGGATTTGTTCAAAGTTTCATGGGTCACTGAGTAAAATCCCAGTGGCTGGATTGTCTACGAGCTTACCTTGAAACCAGAAGGTCCTGGACTAGAACCACGGCGGGTGTGTACTGATGAAGAGCTCTAAGCACTAGGACGAAATAGCAGTCCAGTCCTCTCTTGGTGATTTTCATCTTCCCTCTCTAAATGATACCAGTCCACATCTCATCTACAGAAACCTTTTATTTCACAATTTTATAGTTTCTTGAATGTCAATTTATTATGACTATGAAGGTCCCTTATTAGCATAGCAGAATACCAAAACCACTAAATATTATGCCGAAGGGCTATCTAGTATTATTAACTGAACTATATGTAGCGTTGTACAAGCCTCATCTAGTTTCCGAGACATTCTAAAAAATGGGAAACAGGGAAGGTTGGAAACCTCGTGAAGAAAGCCACCAGTGCTCAGCAAATTTCAAAGCACAAAGAAAACAAACTGGTCCTCTCATAGAACTGGGATGACGGTTCACTTTAAGGATGAATAACATCAAAGACTGAAAGCCTCCCTTCGATAAAGGTAAAAGTAAATACGTGTCGATATTGAATGCCTGCACCATTTTGAGAATGTCTAGGTAAGCAGGCTGCAGCGAGAATAAGAAGATAAGGTATAAAAGTGTTAAGAATCTATGAGAGCAAATGCAACAGATACAGACTCTCCAGGCTATGAACTAGAGCGTCAAAAATCTACTCCACTCAACTAGATGACAAATGATAGTGAGGCGATCATAATGTCACTAGCAACACCGAAGGCACTCATAAACTAAAAACTGATCTCCTCTATGATTATGACAGTAAGATGCAACTTAAAGGAGAGCCAACTCACAGTTTTTCATAGCTACATGTCAACAGACAATGCATATCAAGAGAAGAAGTAAACCTTCTACGAACACTCGTTAACCGATGACAACAACAAAATGCCATTGAGTGAAATGATCAACAAGCCGGTATCAGACATCACAGTAAAACTGGTCAGCATAGGTTGGGAGGTACTAAATGGGATGAATGGGGACAGAAAACTCTTTGTAGAAGTGTGCATGAAGACTCAGGCTACTGTATACAAGATGAAGAAGAAAAGCAGACTTGTATTCAGATCACCCTCTTGTACAGAGAACTTTCAAGATCAAGTTAAAAGCTATCAATGAAGCCAGAGATGGACCAAAATGCCCTTTTAACAATCAGAAGATGAAGGACAAAGCTATAAATGACACATTCATGGCAGTTATTGTAAAAAAAGACAAAGCGATAAACAACACCATTGTGAAAACTTGTATGGGAGAGCACAGAATCACTTTGAAAGTGATATGTGGCGATACCTTCATAAGTATCCTACCCAGAATGAGCAGAGGCTCACTGCATACACTTGATAGATGATACTGAATAGAACGATACTAAAGTGGAAAATGAACCAATGTAGAAATGAACAACGAAAGCAAAAACTGAGTGCAACAACCTACAGCTGATTGAATACAAGAGTGGGGATGAGGGCTAGAAAGGAAAAAATTCACTTTTACGAATCAATGATAATCGAAGCAAAACGTGCTGTGGGTGATAGAGAAGCCTCAGAGCATCATAAAGAAGTTGTAAGTATTAAAATTGGAACTCTTTTGGAAGAACATGGAAAGAAACCTCTATAGACATTCTAGACAGGACAAGGACTGACTTACTACCGACTCCAGGATGGTGATAGTGAAGAGGAGGAGGAGGAAAGATAGACCTCAAACCACTATATCAAGTAACCAGGTCACTGTCAGCGAAGAGATCAACCCAGATGAAGGCATTCAAATGTAACGAAAGAAACCCAAATACCAAAGAGGTAGAACAGAGGAAATACTAGGCTGATCATTTCATATGACTCCTCAGTTGACTGAGATTCACATCTCTTCCAGGGATACTCCTATCAGCCAACGAAACACCTGTGATCATCAACCCTCCAATAAAAATAGAAGTCTTGAAAGCCATTATATTATTCCCCCAGTTTCCAAGTGGAACATAGAACTTCAACAGCCCTTCTCCATTTCATCGTCTTCTTCAGTGCCCATGAACTCTTATCTTCTCCACAGACGATGTCCTCTATGTTACCCTTGGCCTCATACCCTACTCGTCGTTTCCCATTCGAAGGCTGGCCCAGCGCATGATTTCGTTAGACGATGCTCTCAAACTGTTCTATCCATTTCCATTTCCTCCGGAATATTTGTCGGGAAATAAATTCTTGGTTGGTCTACTACCTACTAGAGTTCCTTATTGTCTGTCTTTTCTAACAGGTCGTCTGATCTTCACTATCAAAAAAGTGAAGGAAATTGTTGATAAGAGTTCGAAATGCTTTTGATGACGTACAGTGCAACTCTCTGAAACGTATAGAAGCATTAACTGGCTTGACATTAGTGTTGAAAACCAGAATCTTGTTCCACACTGATTTCAGAGTGATCCCTGACATCTCCCTAGCCCCCACCCCCACCCCCTTATGTGACAAGCACTAAAAACCAACCCAAAGATCTCTGGTGCCACTGTCATTCCACTATTATAGAATATGTAGATGGAAAGAAAAGTAACTGAGGATTAGAATAATGGCTACCTAAAGAAAGGTGACTCAAAACCTAAGATTATCTCAGATTTCTGGAAACAATCATTCCAATATAGTTGACATTGCATAGCTAGGTATAGAAGGTGTGAACCAGTTTTAATTATTTTACACATTATTGTTATTATTACTGTTATTATTAATCTTAGTCAATGTAATTAAGATATGCCCTGATAGCTCAGGCAATAGGTGGGAAGAGAACATTTGTTTAACTACTTTTTTTCTTTTTGCTTGAACACTGACAAGACATTTAGAGAGAGAGAGAGAGCAAGAGCTTCAAAAACAAGAGGCAAAATCATATAAATCTTCATATAAAAGGATATGTACATATGTATGTATTTATTTTGAGTCAAGTGCGTGTATGACGGAGAGAAACTCCTCCTCCTCCTCTTTAAAGAGATCATACTTACAGTATATACTCATAGACAGCCACACAAATACACATATACACACCAACACATTTCCTCAACAAGGTAATTAAGACACGAAGAGGGCGAAAACAGTTTTTCTGACACCATAAACATATATAATTTACAAAGGGTTGTGTTTCATATATATCGACATCGTCTGAAGATTCATAGATATGGTGTAGGGGGCTTTAAGTGTGTGTGTGTGTGGGGGGGGGGGAATCAGTGTATCAAAGCGAAAATATGATCGCTACTCAAACGTCACAAGTATCATAGAAAAGAAAACAATGGAATCAATATGTCATTCTTCTTCTTCTTGTAGTTTGTTTATCTCCCGGCTTTGATAATAATAAAAATGTGCTATGCCTTCTTTAATTAAAAGAAAACTTAACTTTTTAAAAGACCTAGAACTGTCATAAGAGTAAACATTACCACTCTTATTATTATTATTATCAATAGTATTACCGTAAAAGTGTGAATAATTTAATAGGTCATATAGTTGGCTTTATTGTTGTCTTCATTTTATAAGGAGAGAAGGTTAGAGCAGAAATTTAAAACAGAAGAAACTTATCTGAATGAATGAATGAATGAATGAGTGAGTGAACATTTGATTAATAGTATAACAGAGTCATTGTTATTCTATAATAATAATAATAATAACACCAATAATTATTCCCATCTGGTTACTTATTCCATCAAGTGTATAAAGTTTAAAATGAATTTTTAAGCTTTACTTTGTTAGGAGGGATTTGATTTATTTCAATTTTAGTCAAGAATTGATGATGTGAGTCACAGTGATCATTGAAAATCAGCAAAGAGTATTGGACACTTGTTTCGTCCTAGCTTGCGACTCTTCATCAGTATGTTCCCACCGGGGTTAGAAACCACGACCTCCCGGCTAATAGGCGAATTCGTCGACCATTCACCTAATGGAACCTGGTCAAACAGCCGGCCCATTAATTCAATTTCCTACCAGTTCTTGATTTTAACGTAACCAATAGACAATGTGCGTCGGTAGAATGCTCGCCAACCACATATAAGGTCTGGGGTTCGATCCTCGGATGACTCACTCCTAACCTTCGTCTAGCCGGTGATAGATCCGGCTAAAAGGGAAGGTTGAGCATGAGGCTAGCAACGCCACCCCGTTACAATAAATTCACTGCTACAGAAACTTCAGAAATCTAGCCTGAAGCCCTATGTTCCACTGAGAACGTAAAGGAATATAAATAACCAGCCAATGTGATAGGTGAGTATATGTCCTCATGTCCAGCTTGCCTGTGACCAGAAGGTCCTGAGTTCGAACCCTGGTTGATGCGTAGTGCTGGAAAGTTTGAAAACTCTGGGACCAGATAGTTGTCCAGTACTCCCTATTGGTTTTCCTATGGTTCTCTAATTGATATCAGCTTGCAATCGAACTTGAAACAAATCA